TCTTAGATTTGATGTCAGATAGCAGAGTGATGCAAAATGAAATTCTCTGGAACTTGTCTTCTCTTATCACATTTTGACTTCAGACAATAACGAACAGTTTTTGCTTTTCTCGAACACCAAGATATTCTTAGTTATGAACTGAAATCTCAGTGACTATTTGTTAAATTGGTACATTTTACAGTAATCCCATGTAAATGCATAAAGACTGATTAATGTAGTCTTTTCACAACAATTTATCTTGTGACAATTGGCGCTTATACATTTGTGTGGAGGTACAAGAGTCAGCAACGATGTGCTCAGTACAGCTCTTGTATTCTGTAGTTTGCATTTTGGACAGGTAAGAAGAGTAATGTGTAGTATTAACATAACAAGAAACATGAGACCTACATAATAAACAATACTTACTATTTGTGATTGAATTGGATGTTAATTTTATGACAACAGATTTTTTTTTTTTAAGATTTTTATTTATTTTTTGACAGAGAGAGACACAGCGAGAGAGGGAACACAAGCAGGGGGAGTGGGAGAGGGAGAAGCAGGCTTCCCGCGGAGCAGGGAGCCCGATATGAGGCTCGAGCCAAGGACCCTGGGATCATGACCTGAGCCAAAGGCAGATGCTTAACGACTGACCACCCAGGCACCCCGACAATTGATTTCGATTAATTGCATTCCATCTATTTTTTAAAGTATGCATAACAGAAAACTTAAACATAGCATATTTTCTACATACCTTTTATTTCCATTATCACTTTCACAAACAATATGTGGGAGAAACTGGTAGGTTTTTACCAAAAGCCTCTTTATTCTTCTTCCAGCCTGAAGGCTAGACTACTTTTCCAGCTTCTCTTATAATTGGATATTGCCATGTGAGTTGTTCTCAGCAGTGGAATTTAAAAAAAGTATGTGTTACCTCTGGACCAAGGATTTTTGAAGTGGGTATGGTTGCTCCACCCTTTTTCCTTTTGCTGTCTGGATAGAAAACCTAAGGAGATAGCAGGGCCCAGATAAGAAAGGTGCTTAAATTACTGTGTGAAAGAAAGTAGACCACTGATCAATTCTCACTCTGGAATATTGAGAAAGTGAAACATAAACTTCAATTTTGTTTGAGTCATTATGTATTTGGGGTTGTTTTGTTGCTTATTCTAAGTAATACAATGTAATGGTATTGAGTGGCCTTCTTCTTTAATGAAATAAAATAAGATTCACATTTGCACAAAACTATAGATGAAATATGTGATGGGAGTTACTTCTATTTTCTATCCAAATCCATCTTGAAATTTAAATTCAACAGTAGCCATAAGTGCAGAAAATGTCATTTAATTGTTTTAACAATGTAAAACTATTGTGAATATAGGCAAAATATTTTCATAATGAGTAACTATATAGTTGAAATGAGGTGATACTGAGATCAAAAAATCTATTGAAACTAATACTGTTTGCTTTCTTTTTGCATCCATATTATCCTTGCACTTAAAAGACAAATTACTGTCACTTACTAAATCTTTGTTGTTGTCATGGCCCATGCTTCTTTTGTGCTTGATCTCAGTAACTTAATCTTTACAAACAAAACCATCCTTGATTTTAATAAAACAAGCACTTTTTATTATTACTAAAGAATAGTTGTATGACACCCTGCACTTAAGACAGTATATAGGTAAAAGATAATATTTGAAATAAAATGTGCAGAAGGAGCATTAGTAAGTGTGGTTAGAAGAGTGTATACCTCTATGGACTAAATTCTTTCATTGATATAAGGCACTAAGACTAATGAAAGAGGTAATTTTCACTACCTCATCCTAAACCTATTTGATTAGGAGGAAAGCATATCTCATCTTAATCATTAGTCCTTGGCTATTAAAAACCAGTAGGAACAGAGGATAACTTAGCATATTAATTGGTTTTATATTTGTTTGAGAGACTTTTTGCCTTGAATGAATAACATTAGTTGTTTTTCTGGATCTGTACGTACTCTGTTTCCCAAATTTCTTTGGATTTATTTAAGCAATCGTTCTCAAAGTGGATTCCTGATCTAGCAGTATGCCATTTCGTGGGAACTTATTAGAAATGGAATTTCTCTGGTAACACCACAGACCTATTGAAACTGAAACTCTTGGGATGGATTTCAGAAATCTGTGTTGTAACAAACCTTCTGGAGATTCTCTTACATGTTAAATTTGAGGACTGTTAAGCTAGAAGAACTGGTGTAGGGGGTGAGTCCTCTTTACTCATGTGAATTAGTTGATGTAATGCCTTCTGCAAAACTGCTGCTTAAAAATGTCCCTCAGGGGCACCTGGGTGGCTCAGTCATTGAGCGTCTGCCTTCGGCTCTGGTTATGATCCCAGAGTCCTGGGATCAAGTCCCTCATGGGGCTCCCTGCTCAGCGGGAGGCCTGCTTCTCCCTCTCCCACTCACCCCTGCTTGTGTTCCCTCTTTTGATCTCTCTCTCTGTCAAATGAATAAATAAAGTCTTAAAAAAAAAAGTCCCTCAGTTTTGATAGAATATGTTATTTTCTTGTAGTGATGTTGGTGGTGAGAAAAGGAGAATGTATAGTTTCTAAGCTGAGAGTAACCATGAAGACTATCTCTTCTTACTAAAATATTTTTACTCATGACTATTTCCTGCCTTCCATTATCAAAATCTTCCTTTCTGTGATATCAACTACCAAGTATCCTTTAACTGTGTGTCAGCCACATGTGGGGATTATACTTAGAATTAAAACTTTTATTTGATGTATGAATGGGAGTCAGGCAAATTAACACTCTTCTTGGAAATGGTAACAACATCTGAAGCTGTACTTGGCAAATGTTGATTACTAAGGAAATTAGAACCAAGGTTTAGTAAGGAAGGAATTCTTCTACAGAGAGACATATTAACTGTCTTTAAACATAGGAAGTTTTCTCATGTATAAAGGACATTTTATGTTTTCTGGGCAATTCCAGGGAGTGATAGTTAAAAGAGGACTGATTCTGATTAATATGTAAAAGCTATTATTAAATTATTTCTATCTGAAAATGGACTGAGCTATCTCTTGAGTTAATGAGTTTTCTGTAGTTAAGAGTAGTTAAGCCACATCAAATGGTAGGTTGATAGAGTGGTTTAGACCCTACTCAAATTGTGGTCCTATCTGGGAGTTGTTAGAGGTACAAAATCTCATGGTTTACCCCAGTTCTAGTGAATCAGGATCTACAATTTAACAAGATCCATTGGTGATCTGTATGCACCCTATGTTTGAGAACTAGTGCTCCAGTAGACATCTAATGAATCATCTAATTGTTCTTATACTTAATTCTTATAGGATTGTGTTGTGATGCAGAATTTGAATAACAGTCTAGAAGAGAAGGAGGAAATACATGAGCATGGCCTCACATTCCACTGTGGGGTTGCTAACTGAAGTAAATGCTACTCTAGAAGAAAAGATTCTGTTTCCTGAATATTGTACTTAATTTAAGTGAGCTGGCATTTGAATACTACTTCTTTAGTTAGCTTTGGACTCTTTGTGTTAACCAAAAATGAAATATACCTTTTGGATTTCTTGCACTACCTCTCCAAGATACTTGCATTAACCCCCATATTAAACCCAATGTTTAACCCTTCTCCCAGTTCCCTCCTCCATGCCCTCTTCCTGTTCGCTAAAACTAGGATATGCTAATTTCCCTCACTGAAACATTTCCTTTTTGTTTAGGTACTGGTTTTGTCTCCTGCTTTCTCCCTATACCTGGTTGGATGGGTTTGTATCAATGGGGAGTAGCGGCAAAAGGAAAGAATAGGTAAAGGGATGTGTAGGTACAGGGGGAACTGGAACGCGTTCTAGAAACCAGACTTCGCCCAAAGCTGAAATTTACTAGGGCAGGGAGTACTAAACACACACTCCTTATCGCCAAAGCAGTGAATGGAGAGGAGCTGGAGAGGTAGTGAGAAGTGACAGATGCCACCACACCCTAGCTTGACTCAGGTCAGCCGTGACTACCATGCCCTGGTCCTGGGAGCAGGAAGCTGCTTAAAGAAATGACAAGCACGGAAGGCCAGAGAGCCAGAAGGTGCCCAAGCGCATTCATTCGCCTTTCCCCAGCGTGGGCCGTCACACGCTTCCCTGTACAGACCATTGTGCGGGGGAAGCCCGGACGAGGAAGAGCGTATCCCCTGCCCACACCTGCCCATCCCCAGCCCTTGGCTTCTCCGGGGGCACTGGGAGCAGCGCCAGCGCCGGCAGCCCGGGAGCGGCTTGGAGGGAGTCGTGTGTATCCGCGAGCGCGTGTGCGTGAGGAGGAGAGCAAAGACGTGATTACTTCAGAATTTATTTAAGGGCCGGTGGAAACCACTGCAGCAGCTTCCAGGGGAAGCCCTTGTTCCAGAGGAAGAGGAGGTGGCGGCTGTCAAGGAGAGGAGGGGGGAGAGACCGAGGAGGAGGAGCCCAGCAGCCACAGCACGAGGCAAGTGAGGAGAGAAGATGCTGTAGCAGCCGCACCGGCTCCCAGCAGGTTGGTTCCTCCGGCCGACTGATGCAAGCAACGAGGCTTGCAAAGAGGCTGGGAGGAGAAACTGGGTGTGGGGGGCCGACTGCTTGCCTTTCCGGAGAAGAGGCGCCTCTTTTGAGTTCAGTGAGACACCCTAGCGCAGAAATAGTCCGGGGGCCAGGAGAGGACCCGTCGTGCTTCCCGCAACCCTGGGGACTCGCTTTCCCTTAGCTTTCCAACTCGCGACGTTCGCCTTAAACTCCGGAGGGGCTCCGGGAGGGGGACTGGGTGGAGAACTTCGCTTCCAGGTACTCCTCACGCCTTTCCCCAAAGCTCACGTTTGGAGGGACACCTTCCGGGTGGCCTGGACGCGGAGGGGGAGCAGTGTGGCTTGGTTAAGTTTCTATAAGTCAAACGCAGTCCCCAGCTCCCGGCTCCCCGCCCCGGGTCTCCAGCTGCACGCGCGGAGTCGAGGCTGCTCCGGCAAAGGGGCCGCTACTGCTTTAAGAGCCGCCTCCCCCTCTCCTCCCTTTGACAATGGTCTGAACCGAGCTCTGCTTCCCAAAGCAAAATTTGTAATATGCCATTTTTCCGATGGACGCTTCTCCTTTGGGCTGCTGACGGAGCCGCGGGAAGATGCCGGCTTGCTGCCACGCCACCCAGCCGGGGCACGTTCCGGGAGGGCGCCGGGGCACGCGAGTGTCTAAGCTGCCTTTCTCCTCCGGTTGCTAGGGAAATGGTCCAGGAGTGCCGGGCGTGAGCTTCCCCTCTCGTCAAGCCTGAGACTGCGGTTGTCATTGATCAATTGAAGAAGCAGGACCCGAAATTACAGACATTAGGTACAGAAACTGTGTTTGAGTTACAAGGTTTCCCTTCCGCTTTATTTTTTTACCACCCCCTACCTCCCCGGCCCCACCCCGCCCCCAGGGAAGATGAGATGCAAATTCCTCCTTGCCAATTACTGTTCCCTACCTTTTGCTTTCCACCCCCATCCTCTCCCTTCTCCTATTTCTCCACCTCCTCCCACTTGGCTCTCTCTTGTTGGGCGAGAGATAAAGAATTTTAGTGTGGAAATTATTAAGTCAACTTCAGGGTGGTGGTGGGGGGGGTGTGGCTGAGCGATAACTGTCCAGCCGTGTGGCTAGAGCTGGCTCTTGGCCATCGGTAAAGAAAGTGCAAAATGCTTCTATTAGAGGTGATAATATTTCCTGAGGACAGGGAAGATTTCAAAGAGTTAAATAGGAGGAGGAATATTCATGTAATGTAATCAGACAATGGCTAGGATTTCTCTCACTGAATTACTCCTTGTGGGTTAACTGAGGTGGAGCTGGGTTGGTTCTTAAGACTAAATCTTTGAAGAGGAAACTAACTACCGAGAATAATCGCATCTTTGCCTGTAGGAGGGTCTAAATCCCGGTGATCTGCTTCGAAGTGATTCATTGACAGAAAAAAAGCCTTTTGTAACACCATCATATCTGAATAGTACTGCTTGAGAGGCATATATTGCTAAGAAACACACTGGATCTCGAAAGCCCTTGGGCAATGACTCCAGGGGGCATTCAAAACTTTTATTTTGAAATCTGAGAGATTTGGAAGACAGTCAAGGTTATGTACTAAGAGTAAAGGAGTTGGTTTTCCTGGTATCAAATTCTTCAAGCTAAATTTAATCACCGGGATAATTAAACCAATATTTTATTTTTTCTTTTCACAACAAAATAAGTATCTCTAACTAGGTCTTAAAACCTTCAGTAATTTAATGAAAAAGGCATCAACATTTAGAAAAGGATAACAATTCATATATCCAACCGACTTTGGGGAAGAGTGCCGAAAAGGCAAATATCAAAGTGAGCTGTTAGGATGTCCTTCCTGGTTTTTCAGGAATTATGTGATACAATACAATTTTTAATACTGAAAATGATTGTAAAAGTTAAAAGTGGCATATGAGGATGAAGTACACTAGAGGATAAATAGCCTCTGGAAGTTGCTTCAGATGTTGTCCATTCTATAAGAGGGTGTTGAACATTGAAGATAGATTTTTAATTGATTTTAATATCTAAATATGCATTTAAGAAATAGGTTAGACTGTATTTTCAGGATTATACAAGTATTTTGTAATTTATATTAGAATCCGAGTCCTATTGCAAGAACAAAGCTAGTTCGTGAAAGTGACCTTTATTTTTTGTAGAAAATTTTTTTCTCCTAGTTTTGATGAGAAGACTTTAGATTTACTCATTTGGGTTGACTGTTGGTGGAGAAAAAGCAGACGAATTCATTTTATTTCCTAAGTAACTGTAGCATAGCTTGATTTTTCCCAGTTGGATTTGAAGAGTTCAGAGTACCCACAGGAATTAAAACTTTAGGCATGGAATCAGAATGAATCGTAAAGGCACAATATTCTTTCTGCAAAGGTGAATGTTGGTCACCTTATAAAATAAATAAATACTTGTATTTGTAATTGTCCTTTAAATTTTACTGTGTGATCTCAGTCAAGTATTCTATTGGAGACTTACAATGGGCTTGTTAAAAAAAAAAATCATGGATTCTTATGCCTACTTACAGAAGAGAAAACTGAAGTTTTGAGAGGTGATGTGACTTGTTCTGGTTCCAATGCTGCAGGAATGGAATCGAATCAAGTTGAGTGTAGAATTAATAGACTGAGACCCTAAGTCCCTAAGCTGCTTCTCATCATAGCATCTTTGGACTGACTAATTCAGAGACCAGCTTTTATACTGATATAAGAGCCTAAAGTCTGTGAATGTCTAATATCTCATGGTGGCAACAAGCCTTTGTTAGAATTAGGGTCGTGTATTCAGAAGGAAATTGTAGCTGAGGTAATCACTGCAGTTATGCTTTTCCTTGAAATTTAAACTTTTTTATAAGTAATTCAGAGTGAAGATGTGCTAATGGCTTTTTTCCAAGAAGGAGATGGTTTAAAATACAGATTTTAAGTATGTTTAAGTAACCCTAAAATGTAAGCCTTGCAAGTGTTTTGGCACAAATTGTCACAGTGCAATCATTTCCTCTCCCAGTATTTTGTTTTAACCTTAAATGTCAAAAAGAAACACATTGGCTTCTGGTAATGATTTCTCAGAATGACACAGCTGTTCAGTGTGTGGATTTTCATGCATGGCATGTGAACTAATTGTTTTTAATATTCAAATGTGTTAGAACAGTTTTTTTTCCAATTCCTTTTCAATTAATGTAAAGAAAATGTATAGCAGTTAGAAAAGAGTCTCTTTTTTCCAGCTTTGTCATAATGTTTAAATAATATTCAAACTGAGAAAAACACAAAAAAATACTATCTTTTCATCCATTAAGTGGTTAGCGACAGTAACAATGCATGAGTGTGTGTGTGTGTGTACACGCATGCGTGTGCACTCACATGTGCGTTTAAATACATCTTACGTATCTATTCTGTTACCTATTTTAGAGTGATTTAACAAGTCAAATATTTGCCTTCAGGTAGCCCAGTGTTTTGAGTGATGAGCAATAATTCAGAGTATTATCTTAAATTATCCTAAAATTCATACTACCCCGTAATTTTTTTTACATAGGATATCAGTAAGAAAATACTTTCCTTTTATCTTTTAAAAGTTTCTCCTAGTTTTCAGTGGACCCTGACCAAATCATTCAGATAATTGAATTTATCTCTTCAGTAACCCAATTTATTTGAAGAATCACATAAAAGTAATTAACTATTGAGCTATTAAGTCTTGACATTTTATTTGACTATATCAACAGAAATATTTTCCCTAGGGACAGGAATATATAGGCAGAAAAATGAATTGACCTTGCATTATAAAACCAAAGAATGCTCTAGGATCAACAGCCAAACCAGCATTTCTCCACATCAGCCTTCTGCAAAACCAAGCCCTCTAATTAATAGCTTCTGGTCTCAGTACAACAGCTGAAATTGAGATGGGTTTGGTTCTTTTTTGAACATCAGATAAAAGATAAAAGAAAAAATGAGATAATTTCTGATTTTTAAAATGTCATACAGTAGATCAGTGTTGCATCTTGAAGTCTGTTGTCTATTATAAGTCAAATTAATAAATGATTTAAAAAATATTCTGAATAGTTCATTTGTTTCATGACTGGAAGCTTGTGATTAACAGCTGAGATGTGAAGTAACTACATTAGCTAATGTAATTTACGGTCTCTGTTTTGGGGAATATTTGAGAGTGTTAGTTTGTATTGTTTGGAGGGAAAATTGACAAAGCAGTTCACAGGAAACAAAAGAATATTAAGGGCAATTATAATAACCTAAACAACCTCAGTCTATTTCATAGAGCTTACATTTAATTTAGTCAATATTGCTTTACTCTGTGTAGATTACCTTAACTTAGCACATAAAAGTGATAAAATGGGAGTTGTAAAGTCAAGAAACTTTAAACTAGTTGGCATGAAAAAACCTGTTGATAAAATCTGAAAAAAGTAAAAACTGATTATTATATAAAATGAATACTTAATTATTTGTAGATTCCCTAAATGCAAGAGTGAACATTAATTCAATTGTTTAAGTCATTCAAAAATCATTTACTTCCTACCCATGAAGTGCCAGACACTGTGCTTGCTTTTAACAATATAACAAATAAGGGTAAGATGGTGGTATTTGCTGTAAGAGATTTGTAAACTTACAGGGGTAGAAAAGTGATCAACTAGTAAGTTGAATAACATACTACTATAAATTAAATTGGAGGAATAAATCATGAAAAAAACGCCAATTTTTTTTTTTTAAGATTTTATTTATTCATTTGACAGAGAGAGAGACAGAGAGAGAGGGAACACAAGCAGGGGGAGTGGGAGAGGGAGAAGCAGGCTTCCCGCTGAGGAGGGAGCCCGATGCGGGGCTCGATCCCAGGATGCTGGGATCATGACCTGAGCTGAAGCCAGACGCTTAACGACTGAGCCACCTAGGCGCCCCCCAAAACACCAAATCTTTGAGAAGTAGGTGAAACCAACCTGTATTTTGTAGGTAGGAGCTTTATACATTATCAATAAATGGGGAAGGATATAGATTGGAGGAAGTCAATGAATCATATTTCATTGAGTTCAAAATATTTAGTGTGGTTGGAGTTGGGGCAGTGGGTAGGGGAAAAAAAGAGACAATTAGGTTAATGAGCTGCAGAGTTTGGTGAGTTGAGAGTCAGTTGGTTTCTTTACTAAGACTTCCCTCCCCTTTACTTCCTTTAAGCAATGATGTGTGAAGTGATGCCCACGATTAATGAGGACACCCCAATGAGCCAAAGGGGGTCCCAAAGCAGTGGCTCGGACTCAGACTCCCATTTTGAGCAGCTGATGGTGAATATGCTAGATGAAAGGGACCGTCTTCTAGACACCCTTCGGGAGACCCAAGAAAGCCTTTCACTTGCCCAGCAAAGACTGCAGGATGTCATCTATGACCGAGATTCGCTCCAGCGACAGCTCAATTCAGCCCTGCCACAGGTATGCTTCCTGGTAGTATTTGTCCTTCCTATTGCAATTGCAAAAGTGACAAGACTTAAATAAGCTTTGCTTTATTTCTATTCTTATAATTATCATTTCCCTTAAATTATATGATATGCATGTTTTGGTGAGAAAAATATAAAAATAGATTATTAGTTCACATAAAAATCTTACCTCAAATTTGTGGTATTTTGGTGATGGTGAGTGTGAAGGCTGAGTTCCTGTCTGGTCTCTCTTTTTTTTTGAAAATTTTATATGTATGTTTTGACGGGCCTGTCAGCTGTTGATCAGCATTCAACTGCCTGAACGTGGGAATAGTTAGTTTTCTCTTTCTTGCTCTTTAAACAGTATTATGACATTTGGAAATATGTATTTTCCATTTTTAGCTGTGTGGTCTGTCTTTGGAAGTGATTGTAGTTTGGAAGTCTGCTGTCCATTTATATTTTATTTGTCTTTCTTTAAAAATGCCTAACACCTGCTCAAAAATTCTTGGAATTATCCGTGTATTATCCTCTCTTCTCAAAAAACATTTCAACCAGTTTCTTTAAAAAATATTGAGGAAAATAGAGAAAAGGCAAAAGTTCAGCCTTATTCTCACAAACTTAAAATTGTTAGGTCTTTTGAAATATATGCTTGTCAAGCATCTTATTTTATAGGAAAATATATCATTTTAAGGATTTCAAGCTTATTTATATACAAAGTTAATTTTGAGACTCAATTTTCTTTTTTTAAAGATTTTTTATTTATTTATTTATTTGAGAGAGAGAATGAGAGAGAGAGAGCACATGAGAGGGGGGAGGGTCAGAGGGAGAAGCAGACCCCCTGCTGAGCAAGGAGCCTGACATGGGACTCGATCCCGGGGCTCCAGGATCATGACCCGAGCTGAAGGCAGTCGCTTAACCAACTGAGCCACCCAGGTGCCCGAGACTCAATTTTCTTAAAGAACAGAACACTTGTGTTTGTTTTAGATATGAGAAATATTATAGAATATGAATAAGATTTGTAATAATCACTATATTTTTCTTTTGAATATGAATTTGATTGGCCCTCTGCTTTAAGGACAGTATAGAAATGTTGAAGAGTTGACCTCCCTCCATGAAGTTATGTCTTGTGGCAAATATCTTTTCATGAATATTAAAAATTATATAATAAAAATTGATGAAATTCTAAACCCAGCTGTACTATTAACTTGAAGTGTGATGTTGAGATATTGAAGACTCTCAGAATGGAAAGGATCACCTAGAGTCCTTTATCATATCCCTATCAAGAAACCCTGTAACCCTATATGAAGAACCCCTATTCCAGTCGTTTTCATTTTCAGTCAGCTTATCTTGTGTTAAGATGCAATAGTATTTTCAGTAACTCTAACTGGTTTGTTTAAATACACAAAGAGTTGCTTTATTTCAAAAGACAGCTATCATATCTTCACCAATTATTATATTTTTCAAGGTTGACATTTCAGTCTTTGCAACTGTTCTTCATAAGGTGATTTTCGAAAGATCACCATCATGCTTACTCTCCTTTAAGATTATATGAGTTGCTTAATAGTGTTAAATTGGCTCCTGGACCCCTCACACTATTCGTTATCTTCTGTGACAAGCATAGAATGAGCAATCATTTTTCTTTCTGGATAGAGTGTTTTATTAAAGAAGCCTAGATTACATTATACGTGGGGGCAAGTTCAACATACTTTCAGTATGCCCTGGGACAGTAGTCACCTGAGGTTTATAATTGAGTTGCATGAATGCTGCATGCATTCCCGTTTTCCCTAAACTCTTGTTGGAAGTTGATTCCTTGGTTCTATGTGTAGGACTATGCATATATCCCTCCTGCATTATCTTTGTATATCTTATTCAAGCCTGATTCTGTCAGTTTGGATCCTAACACTATCAAACTGATTCTAAGAATAATTTAAGTGTTTAAGTTATTTCTCTATCTGTAAAAGGAAGAGTGAACAAAATATATTTGGGGAAAAGAGGAGAAAACTGGAAATGCTTTCATACATACTATATTGTGCAGATAAATCTTTTCTTAAAGGTACAATAATAAATAAATTCTAACAATTCTGTTGTATTGAATATCTTGATTATAGTAAAATCTAAAATTTTAAGTTTTGAATTTTAATTATACTGGTCTGTAATCTCTTATTCAAAACCCCTGGGGTCAGTTGTATTTTAGAGTTCAGAATTTTCTTGATTTTTTTGTATGTATATGATGTATATTATGGAACACTTCTCCAGATGGATTCTGGGAAGCACCTCATAATTATACATTTTCGTATCTGAAGAGAATTCTATGAATATTCCCATTGCATGGGAAAAATAAAGACCATAAATCTCTCATGTTAGTACAGGTCTAGTTTTGCACCAATCAAGTTAGCAACACACTTAAAAATGAAATATCAGGGGCGCCTGGGTGGCTCAGTCGTTAAGCGTCTGCCTTCGGCTCGGGTCATGATCCCAGAGTCCTGGGATCGAGCCCCGCATCGGGCTCCCTGC